CCCTGGCCCGGCCCGGCCCGGCTCCCCCGGGAGGAGGGAAGGAAGGGCCGCGCTGCCGCCTGCCTTCCAACCCTTCGGAGCAGCCGGGCGCTGGGAGACGTTAACCTTTTATTTTAATCCATTAAAAACGCCAGGGAACGCGAAGCGCATAAACACACCCCTAGGATTAGCATAAAACACGAACAGCATCTTAGAATTCATCCACTTACCTCGGGTGTGTACGACCCCGCCGCGGTAGAACCTTGTTTTGATACAACAGGGCAAACTCGCCAGCGCCCCACGAGCAACAATCTATTCTCTATTCTGCATTTGTGAGGCCGCATCTGGAGTATTGTGTCCAGTTCTGGGCCCCTCAGTTCCAGAAGGGCAGGGAAGTCCTTGAAAGAGTCCAGCGCAGAGCTACAAAGATGATTAAGGGAGTGGAACATCTCCCTAATGAGGAAAGGCTGAGGGAGCTGGGTCTCTTTAGCTTGGAGAAAAGGAGACTGAGGGGCGACCTCATCCATGTTTACAAATATGTAAGGGGTGAGTGTCAGGGGGATGGAGGTAGGCTTTTCTCAGTGATGACCAGTGATAGGACAAGGGGCAATGGGTGCAAATTGGAGCATAGGAGGGTCAAGGTGAATATCCGAATTTATTTTTTTTACTGTAAGAGTGACAGGGCACTGGAACAGGCTGCCCAGGGAGGGTGTGGAGTTTCCTTCACCGGAGACATTCAAAACCCACCTGGATGCGTTCCCGCTCTGGGTGACCCTGCTCTGGCAGAGGGGTTGGACTAGATGATCTTTCAAGGTCCCTTCCACCCCCTAAGATTCTATGATTCTATGAACATTCAGTGCTTTTTCTTTCGGATTCATACTCAGGAGCCAGACGTGACTGACAGCCCCCAGACGAGGGGTGGGTGAGAGCCCTGCTGCCCCCCACCCCTCAGAGACCCAGAGGTGAGGTCTGCAGGGCCCGGCAGGAGACACAAGCTCCCACCACAGCAACACCACCACCGCGCCCAGTCTGCCTCCCCACACACAAGGGCAGCTCCTATCAACCCGCCTGCCACAAGCAGTTCCAGGCATGACTACCAGCAAGTCCCCATCTGTTGTTTCTTCATACTTACCAGCTTCCCCAAACCATACAAATGCCTCATTTCTATTGCATGTGCCCAGAACGTCACCTCAGGATATGGGCTGTTGCCTATAAATAGGAAATGTGTTAACCTGAGTGTTGCTGCTTTTGGTAAGCAAAATACTAGATATCAAGTGTTAAGGCTAGTGCATTTTGACGTGGGAGAAAAGGAAGGAGAGGTAAGTGCACAGGGAGAACAGAAACATGACTGGAAGCAGGAAGAGAGAATAGCGGCTTCCAGAAAAATTAGAGCATGGAGCTGGCTCTGGTAAAGGCGATGACACACAACATGTTTCCTCTGAGACAGCCAAGGCAAATTTTCATCCCAGTTCTGAGCTTGGATGAGTTACCTTCCACAGAAAATCACATTCAAAGCAGACCCAGCCTTACCACCATCATTTTTCCAGAGCTTGTAATCCCTTACTACACAAAACAGGAGGCCCTTACCACCATCATTTTTCCAGAGCTTGTAACCCCTTACTACACAAGACCTCTAACTGAGGTTAGAGGAGGGTGTTAAAAGGAAGCAGCTCATGCTCTTGCCCTCTATCACCCTCCAGGAACCACACAGCTTATTCTCTCATGCTATTTATTTGCATTCAGAGCCATTTAAAAAAACAAACTTGAAACACCGGTATATTAATCTGCAAAGTAACCGAACTCAGGTCACAGCTTACTATGTGTTTCAGATGGGTTGCTCAGGAGGTGTTTGCGGAAGAAAGCTTGGATCTGCTTCCAAGCATCTACCTGTGCTTCAGAGTGTGCCTTGGGCTCCCCTCCCCACACCACAGGCTTGCCAAATAGAAGGTGCATTGAGGCTGCACACATTGGGAAAAAGGGGGGTTCAATGTAGTGCCCTGCTCCAGGGTAACAGACTATCTCGGGCTTTTCCTTCCCATGAGCTTGCAAACGTTTGCTCCCCTCAACTGCGAAGAATTCACTTTTCCAGTTGCGATCGTCCTGGCCAACAATGAACAAGAAGCGACACTCAGCTTTCTCCAGAGGGATGAAGCTTTGGCGGTCAGGTCCTTCTAGGGGGTTGTTCAGTGCATCGATAATATCAGCAGTCCCAGAGCTGTTGACCTTGATGCGTTTAGCATTGACACCAAGGGGTGGAATGGTGACGTCCTTGTAGCGGAGCACTGCACCCACATTTGCCACTGAGCCATTGATAAGGGCAGTGGCCATGATGCCCTTTAGGAAGGAGGCCATGGAGACACACAGGTCACCCCCCTTTGAGATTCCAAGCAATCCAATTCCTGGACCTTTAACCTGGTGTGAAGAGAAGACAAACCACAAGCAATCAACCACCACATGCCACTTTTTAAAATAGTTGCCATGTTCACAACAGTGTCTGTTCTGAATCTGGACCCCGAATGTAGGCATCTCAGGTCCTGTGAGCAGGGGCCACATCTGAGGGACCCTGGGGCACTGTTCTGTGCTTGACTGATGATCATAAGCCCTGCAGCAGCAACCTAAGTTACAAGGCACAGTGCTGCTGAAGCATATGCAGAGGGTACAGCTGTGCTTGCAAAAAAGCATGCAGATGTGCAGCCCCAGATTTAGTTTTCTTTTCAGGCCATTTAGGAAAGGAGAAGGAAGTGGCAGAGGAGACCTCTTCTACAAGTGCTTTGTTTCAATGCAAAATGGTCAAAGTCCGCAATGACTGTCATATTGTCATCAGTTATGGTAACATATTTCAATCAACTACTGTCTTTGATTTGTTCCTCTATTAAGAAGCTAACACGGGGTAGCAGACTCCACATCAGCTGCTCTCCTCTTTCTCTAGTATGCTTGGTGTCTAACTCGCTGAGAAAAGGAGGTATCCTTGAGGTAGATTACTTGGTAAAATGTATCCTAAAAAATAACCTGTTAAAACCATTTTTCTAAGTGAATTGCATAGTCATCTTGAGTCAATCTAGAAGAGATTACCTTAATTTTCTTTGACACAGGCAAAGTAATTAGAATAGGAAAGCTATATGATCTTACAAGGTGTTAAAATTCTCTAAGGATATTGGAAGAGTTCAGCTAATACAACTGCTGCAATATCAAAAGACCCTGAGGGGTAAAAAGGCTCTGAGACAGCATAAAATTTAATACCTTTTGTACCTTATCACCAGTGTAATAAGCTCCAAACTGACTGACTTTGAAGCAGAGAATGGGGGAAATGTAAAAGAGATGGCTGAAACTTGGCAAGGTGTTAAAAAAACGTGGTGAGGGTACCAGTGGAGGTGTAAATGGGAGGCCATGGTACTGCTCTAAGGGGAAATAAAGGCAAGGGGAAGCCATTTTCACAGTTTTTTGGGCAGAGAGGTGGCACCAGCAGTTAGGGTTAGGGTGACAGGAAAACAACCAAGACCTTTAACAGTTACTCATCTTTCTGAGGTTGAGGAAGGTATTTAGAGTTCTCCAGAGAAACCAAGAGTTGCCTTGTGCAATTCTACTTATTGTAATGCACAGCTTCTTGGAAGAAGATGTAGAATTGAGCAAGGTTCTCTTCCAAGAGGTGTCGACTTGGAAGGATCTCCAGGTTCATCACTAGCTACTAAAACCCATACTCACCAAATACCACCATTTTGAGCGATTTTAACAGGTTATGCAATACAAAGCAACAAATGTGTTCTGGTGGACTTCCTGGAGATCTGGATCACAGAAGGTTATCGTGTGCTACATGGGTGAAACTAGTACCCTAGTTATGACACTGGATTGAATGGAACAGAAATTATCAGTGTGTTCCCCTGGACAGTTCAAAGGAAAAATTGGAATAATCTGCCAGAGAACCATTGTAATAGGAGTTAAAGATAGAAAACAAATTAATCGCAGCTAACTTGCATGGAGATGCTACTTTAAGTACAGAAGCTCTTCCCCAGCTGCAACCTGACAAGACATGACTAATAAGAGTGAGAATCAATGAACAAACCAACCTGTGCGTGTTGTAACATATAATTTACGGCTTCTTCAAAATATTCCAGGTGGAATTCCTTCATCTCTTTGGGGAGATCATCATAGTTGTAGTAAGCCAGAGCTAGCACAGCAAAGCCATAGTTGGCCAGCAGGCATGCTCTGTATTCAGGGAGTCCTCCACCAGTTCCATACAAGTCAATAATTCCTGGAAAGGGGCCATTTCCTGCAAGAGACCACATAACAGGACACGTTAACCCACCATTTTAAATTTATATTCCAAATTCTTAGGCCTAGAGATATGTATTTTTAAAATATAATTAAAACATAGAGTAGCAGAATGGCACTAATGGTCCTAAATTACTGTGCTGGTTTTGAGTAAATGGCTACAATGCTTCAAGATTAAAAAGAACAGCACAAAATAGCAGGCTTGCTAATGTTTTGAATATATCAGGGAACATGTGGCTGGAAGGGAAGGGATCCCTTGACAGTCACAACTAGTTCTCTGTGTCATGTAAATTTACTGCAAAGGTATGAAGCTCTGCTTCAGAAATACTGAGGAGGCTACTCCCCAGTGCATTTCACAGAAGACTGATTAAAAAAATCTCATCTTTTTATGGTTCCAGCTTCTCCATTTCAGAGTAAATGTGCTCTAGCCATTTATTCTGGGATTAAGGGGAAAAGTATTTGCAATCATCCTTTGTAATCTGGTGAGAGAAGCTTTACATTAGGGTCATCAGGGGACAGGGACTAAAGCCCAGAGCTAAGAGGAATTGCTGCAAACTTAGAACTAAGTACAGAAAGGAAGAGACCAAGAGGGAGAATTCTATTCCTGCTCAGATGGGAGGGTGAGGCTTCCCACAGGTGTCTGCCAAGTAATATACAACACTTGGGCAAAAAACAAGAACTGGAAACTGACCTCCAGCAACAGGGCTACAATGCAATCACAGACCGGAATACTGGCTAGGGCAGCACATATAATTTTGGCACTATCATGGAAGAGTTACCAGGATCAGACCTGGAAGAAAGGAGAGAGGTGCCACATAAAGGAATTCCTTGAGTGCACCGTGTTCTAGAGACATTCTTGGTGAAAGTCTCTCAGTCACAGGGGGAAGGAAAGGTGGGATGGCAGTACAGCTGCTACAGACCACTCAGCCAAAAGGAGGCAAGAGATGAGGCTTCATACAGACAACTAGCAGAAGTCTGGACAGCTGCTGGGAGGACAGACAACACAGCACCTGTCAAGTAATCTGAAAACCTCAGAGAGTCCCTCAATTATGATTTTCTGACAAAAATACTGTAAGGGCAAGTATGTCTAATGCTTTACTTGATCTGCTCATGAACAGGGAAGAACTAGGGACAAACGTAGCAGCAAAAGGCAGCCTGGGCTACAGCAACTATAACGTGAGTAAGTACAGGATCTGTGGAGAGGCTGGGAAGAGAAGGAAAGCAGCAGGCTGAGGACTCTAGATTTTGGAGAGCAACCTTTAACTTATTCAAAGAATTACTAGCTGAATTCCCTGGGAAACAGCCAGGTAGAGGAAAGGCATCAGCTCCCACGGTATTTGGAAACAAAAAGGGTACTGTGATCAATGTCTTCACGTTCAAATACGAGTCAATAAAACAGGTTTGCATGTGTTTTAGCCCATGTAGCTGCCCATCAACAGATCAAAGCTGGTCGGGCTGATCAGGCGGCTCCTTGAGGAGTGCCAAGTGCCAGCGGGAGAGGTCCAGCTCCCCCCGACCTCTGCCTGGTCCCGTGCCCAAGGGGAGTCTGGAGGGGGTCTCGCATCTCGCAGCACAAGCCCGAGCGCGGAGGCAGCAGCCCCGGGGGGCAGAGCCCGGCGCGGCCGGTA